CGTATTTATTTTGAATATAGTCAATCCATCTTCTCCACTCCAGTTTATATTTCTCATTTGAGTGGTCCTTGAGTCAACTCTCTTCTTCATGCACTTATCAGCTGTTGTTTGAAGCTGCTTTTTACCAACAATTTAACACTTTTCTGGAGTACAGTACTACTATTTCACAGTAGCACTATTCCAGTAGCACTAAACCCCTCCCCAAAGGAGCCCCATTATCAGTCGTTAATAGCTGGTTGTCAGTTTACTTTTGAATACCACACAATACCCTTGTACCAAACCTGAATGGATTTTAAGATGGCCAAGTCCCATCCCTTTGAACTATGCAAATGAAAGCCCCTGAACATAGACAGATATAAATTTTATATCTAGCTTTAGCGTTCTTCCAGACTTTAAACATTACCAAAATATCTGACAGAAGCAGTGGTGGGATTCAGCCGGTTCGCACCTATTCGGGAGAACCGGTTGTTAACTTTCTAAACAGTTCGGAGAACCGATTGTTGGAAGAAATCTCATTTTGTTTTTTTCCACTTTACAGGGCTAATCCTGTAAGGAAGGCAGGAAGGAAAAATTCTGATGTTGTTTCGAGCCTAATCCTTATTGCCCTGCTTATAGAAACTGCCTCTCTCATTAACTCTTATTACATTGTAACAGCTAAGGCGAAGCGCCCATCGGCCTGAGTGACGTTGAGTTGGCCATGGTGACATGGTCACATGACACTGATCCCTGCCTACCTAGCTGGTCATTAGGTCAGAGAACCGGTTGTTAAATTATTTGAATCCCACCACTGGATAGAAGGGACAGAAAGGAGTTTTACCTTGATATTTTCCTGAATGATATCCGGATCATCACAGATGGATTCAATGAAGAAAACCTCCAGTGGCGTCATGGAAAGAGAAAAATCAGCTATTACAACTGATGAAAACAATTAATTTCAGAGTGGAAAGGATATGAAATTGCCATAGTTGCTTTTGACAGAAGCATTTTCTTTGTTTATACACATTTTGCAGTTGTTGTATTTTTATAAGCCTTCAGAATCTCATGGAAGCGTGAGACATGGTGGTATTGGGGAGAAAGGCAAGTGAATGTACATGGCGATTAGATGCCTAATCTATTATGCAACCTGCAAATCTAGTTAAGAAAAAACAACAGCCATGCTGGGTACCTTCCAGATGTGACATGTCATATTGACATTTTAACATAATCCGTGATTTAAAAGGTCAGTTTATTTTTGTGAATTCCAAGTTACTAGGGCTGCAGGCAAACCGAAGTATCTGTCCCATTTTGGGGGGAAGGATGTTTTTTTGTCTTTTCTTCCCTAACTAAAAATGGGGAGCAAACCCGATGAGCTTACATTTATTTTGGAATTTAAAAAACCCTATAAACTTAAGAATGTAACGAATTTGAAATTAATAGCCAACGCTAAAGAAGACTTTAATTCAAAATTCAATTCAATTTAATTCAATTTAATTCAAAGTTATAAATGAATTAAGGGAACAGGCAACTTTGAAATGCTAGGGGTTTTGTTATAAGGTTTTCCCTCCCACGAATTGGCCAAGTACTCCATCTCTCAGGCTGGGGGGTCAAATTATACGCCCCTCAGACAGCGTTCGCAACTTGGGAGTC